TATCGCAATTTTAGACATTCACATCGCGCGAATTTTGACACAGGTTGTATTTCTATACACTGTATTTGGTTTCCGAAACTAATTATTTGGTTTATCGCAATTTTAGACGACATTCACATCGCGCGAAATTAGACAAAGCGCGTTTATTTGTATTTTTATTTGGTTTCCGAAACCAATTATTTGGTTTATCGCAATTTAAGACGACAATCACATCGCGCGAATTTTGAGACAGGTTGTATTTCTATACACTGTATTTGGTTTCCGAAACCAATTATTTGGTTTATCGCAATTAAAGACCACTTTCACATCGCGCGAATTTTGAGAAAGCGCGTTTATTCGTATTTTTATGTTGAGTTCGAAACCAATTATTTGGTTTATCGCAATTTAACAACACATTCACATCGCGCGAATTTAGACAAAGCGCGTTTATTTATATTTTTATTTTGTTTTCGAAACTAATTATTTAGTTTATGGCAAATTAAGACGACATTCACATCGCGCGAATTTTGACAAAACGCGTCATCTATTTTTTTATTTTGTTTTTGAGACCAATTATTTGGTTTATCGCAATTTAAGACGACAATCACATCGCGCGAATTTTGACACAGGTAGTATTTCTATACACTATATTTGGTTTCCTAAACTTATTATTTGGTATATCGCAATTTTAGATGACATTCACATCGCGCGAATTTAGATAATGTTCGTGAATACTTGAGCTCAGATGAATTTGTTAATGAAGAACATGCAAACTCAATACAAATTGATTAAGTCAATAACATCACATTTAGTGGTTTACCAATAAAACATCCCAATAATGCTTCTGAGGAACCTAAATCCAACGAATGGTCTCTGCAACGGAACGCAACTTATTTGCAAAGAATTCCGTTCACACGTAATTATTGCAGAAATTCTTACTGGGCCAAAACAGGGCGAAACAGTTTTTATTCCCAAAATGACATTACAACCATCTGATACTGATATGCCATTTACTATTAGAAGAAAACAATTCCCAATTCGTGTTTCATATGCAATGACAATAAATAAAAGTCAAGGACAGACACTGAAAAATGTTGCCATATATTTGCCTGAAGATGTGTTTTCACACGGGCAACTATACGTCGCTCTGTCCAGAGTGTAATCATTTAACAATATAAAAATTTTTAACAATAAAAATTATAACGAAATTAATAAAACCAAAAATGTTGTTTTCAAAAATGTTCTCGCAAATTTATAAGTAATTACACATAATTTTCAATATATAAACACAAAATAATAAGTTTCATATCTGGAGTGCCAGACTTGTGTCTGCGCGGGTGTGAGGTGGGACACCAAAAAATTAAACGATGAATATTGAATTAAATTGTATAAAATAGTCAACTGCTGTTGTATGTATAGTGTTGGTCAGAGTCTTTTCAATACAATGGATTTAAACTGTTTAACTTAATATATAGGATTTATTAGACAAATGATGAAATTTATAAGTTAATGAAGGCTTAAGAGCTCTGATGTCTAATAGGCTGATATATTTAAAGTAAAAACAATTTAAATCCATTGTATTGACAGTACGCTGACCAACACTATACACACTACGGCACCTAAAGGCCCAATGGGCTCTATTCTAGTACATTATTAATAAATTACTAATAATAATCATATTTCCTGTTGATTGTAATCTGAATTCAAATATATTTTTAATCAAATGTTGTTTTAAACAAATTTTTGTCTGTTTTTATTACTTTAGAAATTTTGTTTAAATTTTTTCTGTAATTAATTAAATGTAAACAAAAATGATTTTTAACATGAAATTAATTGTGATTTTAATAACACAAATGTTGGTTGTATTGAACGCAACGGTCAGTGATTATATAAAGAATTTACTTAAAATTTTAATTCAATTATACATTTAATCCCAGAATCCATTGTGTGATCAAAACATTGCCATCGATTCGGCATTTGTGGACAAATACTGTGATTTGGGATCAGATGTCATCACTTTGTTTGCGGACAACACTGTCTATCAATTGACTGTCAATACAACGGATCCCATAAATCCTGTCTTCGTATACAACAGATCCCAATCAGTGGACGAGTGGTCGGAAGGCATCGTCGGTCCCATTTATAGTGTGTTTTATTCAGACAATGGATTCATAACTTTTCTATTAAATGTAAACAATATGTCATTAAATATGATAAGTTTTAATTGATAACTAATTAACAAAAACTTTACTTAAATTAGAAACAAAAACACATTTATTGGTATTTATGGTCACATAATAAGACAATTAAGACATCGGCCGTCGATCGCAATCAAACACAATATGCAAAACAAATTTATTTTGAAACTTTGGTTAAACAGCCGTTTGAATGGATTAAAAGTGTATTATTTTACAGGAAAAGTCAATTTAATGTTATCACATATGATCATGGTATTGGATCTACCAATTGGCCACTTAATCACTATAATCTGATCCAAGAGTACCAGAAGAATGACAATAATACTCATACCGTCAATAATTATTTGTCTAAAACTACGGCTGGTTTTGCATTCAATGACTATTTTTATTTGTTTGCCGGAAGTCTTGTCTGTCGTATGAATAACAAGACTATTGAGTTTGAAGACAATTGTTTAACTCAAACCATCGCTCAATGGATTGTATGCGATGTGAAGACAATAGACAATGGGTTCAATAAATACACAATCATTTTGATATTAATGATCATTTTAGTGGTCATAACTGCACTGATTATAACATTTATAACATATAAACTTTGGACGAGATCTGCGCCAAAAGGTTACCGGAGATACAAAACCAAACCAAAACCTGGAGATTATGTGATCATCTCTTCGGACACACAATCGGGTAATAAGTCTTTGAATGGATCGCAAAGTCGAGACCCGAAGGCATCGATGTCTTTGTCGTCACTGAAAGACAAGAGACCAACGGATCTGAAGGTTAAGAGCAATGAAGGATCGGTTAAAACGCTTTAATTTCAAATCATATGAATAGAGAGTTAAACAAAACTTTTATAATTATTATTTGAATGTTTTTCATTGCATTTTGTACTTTATTTTAAATACACTATAATTTGAATCAATAAATTGCGAATAAATAATAAAACATTTAAGAAAATAAAAAACTCAAAAACAGTATTGAATTAAATATATAACAAATTTTGAGCAAAAAAATACACAAAAATAAAAAACAAATAAATGAAATGACGGGATGTATGGCTAGAAAGAGAGAGAGAGAGAGAGAGAGAGTGTGTGTTTAGTGTCGATAACAACGACAGTCAACCCAACGATGACCACACATACGGCACTGTGAGCTAAGGTTACTCCAGTCCGGCCACGAGTTTGGCTTCAATCTCTTCGGAGGCGACGGACCGTCCGTCTCGTCTGATTCAAACCCTTGAGGCGTTGGATCTAATGGTGATGTCGATAGGGGTGTAAGTGTCGGTCGTGAGCGTGAGTGGGATGGAGTGGTGGGCGAGTAGTTGCCGTCTGTCGGGCGCTCATATGGTTGGTGTCCGCCATCTGTGGCCTCAAACAAAGAGTCGGTGAATGTGTTCATCGCGTTGTCAAAAGCGACGGACAGTTCGGCAAATAGTTGTTGTTTGAATTCAGTGAACATTACAAACATGTTTTCCCGACTCATTGTAATGAGTGATTGAGTGTTAGGCGCCGAGTGTTGGGCCGATTGTGCGGTCGCGTCCTCTGCAGCGCCTGCGCTAAGCTCTGGCGGCCAGTCCTCGAGCTCCTCCTCGTCCTCTAAGTCGTCGTCGAATGGCATAAAGTGTGAACTCGTAGTAGAGGTCGACTGTGCGGTCGAATGTGTCGGCACTTCGGCGCTAATGTTGTGCTCACCGTTTGGATCAGTCGTTCGCTTCGCTCGTACGTAACGCACGAATGCTTCCCATTCTCTGGCACTCTGTCCGCCATCCGCGCCGTCAGTCTCGTCATCAGTTTCCCACTCGCCGTCGGACTCACTGTCACTCATTTTAGTCAACACTGATATTATCTCTGTTTGCAATCAATTGAGCGATGGTTTGAGTCAAACAATTGTCGTCAAACTGAAGAGTCCTGTAATTCACACGACAGACACGATTGCCGGCAAACAAATAGAAATAGTCATTGAATGCAAAGCCGGCCGTCGTTTGAGACAAATAACTCCGGATCTGATGGACAGTCAGATATTAGACATGAATTCAATTGACGTATAGTTTGATTCAAACAGATATATGTTATTCACACACAGATTGGCATTCAATGGCAGATATCATACAAATTATAGCCAAAATTACTCGCATTTCTGATGAAAACAAACTGCTATTCAAATACTTTTGAATTCATTTCTCACAAAATATTCAGAATTGAGAGCACTTTGAGAACGTCTCGTGAAATGCATACAAAATTACTGTACAGAAACAGTGTGTAGTCTTACCATAATGTTTACCAAACATCACAAGACATCAAACAATGTAAAAACTAATACAAATAACAGTAACTTATATTCAAAACTCAATTCTGAGCACAAAATCCGTTAAACATTTCTTAGGAGTCAATCAAACAGTGATTTCTCTGTGTTTTGAATTACCACTCATTTTGGACACACATTTGGATCATCACCACAACTATTCCGCACCTCTTGTACTCATAGCCAACACATAAGACAATGCATCAGCCGATGGTCGTAGCGATGGTGACAGCGGTGTTGGCGCTGGTGTCGGCACCGGGAGGTCCGGGTGTGGGACAGGTGTCGGCCGACAATTGCAAAGCCTATGGCAACGACGGGCCCGACTGTGAGTCCAGGTATATGACAGCCCT